GGGTCTGGACTGGACTGTGCTGCCCCATACTGGTCTGGACTGGTCCATACTTGGCCATGAACTCCTCTGCTCGTCCGTACTGGGCCATACCGGGTTCTACGGGGCCACACTGGGACATGCTGAGTGTTACTGGGTTGTGCTGGATCATACTGGGCTGTACTGGGTCATATTGGGCCGTACTGGGTCATACTGGGCCATCCTTGGCCATACTGGGCTGTGATGGCCTGTACTGGCTTTTACTGGGCTGTACTGGTTTGTACTGGTCCATGCTGGGCTGTGCAGTCTGTACAGGCTCCCATTGGGCTATACTGGGTTGTACTGGGCCATACTGGGCTGTACTGGGTCATACTGGGCCGTGCTGGGCCTCATTAGACCGTGGATGGGTAATGGATGCTCCAGGTTATGAGCAGCAGATACTGGTCTGGACTGGGCCATACTGGGGTGTGTGGAGCCATACTGGGCTGTTCTGGGCTGTACTGGGCCATGCTGGGCTGTGTGCTGCTCTACTGGTCTGTACTGGTGGATAGATATGGGTCCGTACTGGTCTGTACTGGTCTGTATTGGTCCGTACTGGCCCCTCCCCTGTCCCCACAGGCCCCGCGGCGACGCCCAGACGGGACCAACATGGAGCCCTGAGAGGAGGTAATGGGATCACTGGGATCACTGGGATCTCCCTGGAGCTCATGGGAATCACTGGGATCACTGGGATCCCATGGAAACACATAGGGCACATGGGATCTCATGGGATCTCATCGGGTGACACAGGATCTCATAGGGCAAATGGGATCTCGTGAGGTCTTTGGGATCTCGTGGGATCTCCTGGGTCAGGCGGCACCCCACGGGAACACACAGGGCATGTGGGGTGCCACAGGATTCCAAGAGCTCTCAGGGGATCCCTGGTGATCTGAGGGGATCTGGTGGGATACGACAGGTCCTGGCGGGATCTGACACATTCTGGGAGGCCGGGCAGGGTCCCCTGACCCCCCCAGCGCCCCCTGACCCCGTCTCCCCCCCACAGGCGCCGCCGTGGGATGGCGAAGCTGCTGGTGCCGCTGGTGGTGCTGGGGGCGGTGGCAGGCGGGGCCCCCCCCGGCCGCCCCCCGGTGCCCCCCGCGCTGCCTGTGCCCGGCGGCAGCACCGAGCCCGACGCTGCTCTGCGCCCGCACGGGGCTGCTGGCGGTGCCACCCAGCCTGGACCGCGGGGCCGTGGAGCTGCGCTTGGCCGACAACTTCATCGGCGCCGTGGGCCGCGCCGACTTCGCCAACATGAGCTCGCTGGTGCACCTGACGCTGTCGCGGAACGGGCTGCGCCGCCTGGCCCCCGGCGCCTTCGCCGACCTGCGCGCCCTGCGCGCGCTGCACCTCGACGGCAACCGGCTGCCGGCGCTCAGCGGGCCCCAGCTCCGCGGGCTGGCCAGCCTGCGCCACCTCATCCTGGCCAACAACCAGCTGGCCGCCATCGACGCCGCCGCCTTCGCCGCCTTCGCCGCCACCGTGGAGGACCTGGACCTGTCGCACAACAACCTGCCGGCGCTGCCCTGGGACGCCGTGGCTGCCATGGCCAGCCTGGCCACGCTCACGCTGGACCACAACCTGCTGGAGCGGGTGCCGGCGGGCGCCGTGGCGCGGCTGCCGCGGTTGGCGCGGCTCGACCTCACGGCCAACCGGCTGCGGGCGCTGCCGCCCGTGCCGGGCCCGCCGGGCCCGGCGCTGGCGGCCGGGGGGAACCCCTTGCACTGCAACTGTGAGCTGCTGTGGCTGCGGCGCGTGGCGCAGCCGGGGCGCCTGGAGACCTGCGCCACGCCGGCGCCGCTGGCCGGGCGGCTGCTGGGCGCCGTGCCCGAGGAGGAGCTCACGTGCCGGGCCCCCGCCGTCACCGCCGCGGCCGCCCACCCGCCCGCCGTCACCGAGGGGCAGCCGCTGCGCCTGGGGTGCGCCGCCGTCGGGGACCCCCCACCCGCGCTGCACTGGCTGGGCCCCGACGGGCGCGTGGTGCACAACGGCTCCCGGCGCTCCGTGGGCGCCGACGGCTCCCTGGAGCTGCGCGTGGCCACCCTGCGCGACCACGGCGGCTTCACCTGCGTGGCCGCCAACGCCGCGGGAGAGGCGGCCGCGCGTGTCGACGTCGTGGTGGTGCCGCTGCCGGTGCCGCGCAGGGACCGGGACGGAGACGACCCCGAGCCCGGGCCCGGCCCCTCTGACATGGCCAGGGCGGGGGGCAACGAGACCTTTGGGGGGGCGGGGCCCGGGGAGCGGCGGGTGGTGGCGGCCGAGGTGACCGGGTCCTCGGCGCGCATCCGGTGGCTCCCCCAGCGCCACGTGCCCGGAGTCCGGATGGTGCAGATCCAGTACAACAGCTCCGCCGACGACGCCCTCGTCTACAGGTGGGGGCTCCTGGGGGGGGTCCTGGGGGGCTTGAAGGGGTCATGGGACGGCCTGGGGGGCTCTGTGGGCAGGGTTCAAGGGGGTCTTGGGGTGTCCTGAGGGGCTTTGGGGGGTCCCAGAGGCAAATAGGGAGGTCATGAGAGGGCTCGGGGGTCTCACAGAGGGGCTCTGGGAGGTCCTGGAGGGCTGTGGGAGGGGGCAGATCAAGGGGGTCTTGGAGTGTCCTGGGGGCTCTGGACAGTCTTTGTGGGGTCCTGGGGAGCACTGGGAGGCTTCTAAGGGTGGGTCAGGGGCCACTGCGGGGGGCCTGGGGGCTCTGGAGAGTCTTTAGGGGGTCTTGAGGGGCTTCTAGGGGGGTCTTTGAAAGGTCCTAAGGAGGATCAGGGGGGTCACAGGGGAGTCTTTGAGGGGTTCGGGGGAGGTTTGAAGAGGTCTCTCTGGCTCTTTGAGGGGGTTCAGAGCTGTCTCTGTGGAGTCCTGCAGGTCTCGGGGGGGGGACTCAGGGGAGTCTTGGGGAGAGGGGGTCACACCCTCCCGACCCCCCCCAGGCTGCTGCCCCCCTCCACCCGCACCTTCGTGCTGCGGGACTTGGCCCCGGGGCGCCTCTACGAGCTCTGCGTGTCCGCGCTGCACGTGGCCGGGGACCCCCCCGCCGCCCCCCGCCCCCTCGGCTGCGTCTCCTTCGCCACTGCCGCCGCCCCCCCCGGGCTGCGCCGCCCCCCCCCGGCCCCACTTCTTGGGGGGCACCGTCATCATCGTCATCGGCGCCGCCATCGCCGCCTCCGTGCTCGTCTTCATCCTCATCCTCACGGCGCGCTGGAAGGCGGCGGGGGCGCGGCGACCCCCGCCCGCGCTCACCAGCGTCTGCTCCCAGACCAACGGCGGCCCCCGGCCCGCGGAGCCCCTCGAGCTGCCCCCGCTGCCCCCCCTGCCGCCCGGGCCCGGGGGGGCGCTCGGGGATGGCCCCGGAGGGGGTCCCGGGCTGGGAGGGTCCCGGGGGCTGTTCCCCAGCCACAGTTACCCCCGGCGGGCGCGCCCCCGACGCCACGGATCCCTCCCGCGGCTGGACGCGCCCGAGGGGACCCCCCTGGGACCCCTGCGCCCCTCCTTCGGCAGCACCCACTGGATGCTGGAGAGCACCGTGTGACGAGGGGGGGGCGGTGGGACCTCCGCCCCCCGCCGGGACCCCCCGCCCCTCCTTCGGCAGCACCCACCGGCTGGGGGGGCGGGGGGAAAAGGGGGCTCTGGGGGTGTTCCTGGGGACCCCCGGGTGGTCCCGGGTGACCAAGTGCGCCCCTGGGTGCTCGTAGGGACCCTGGGGGCGGTCCTGGGGACCCCTCAGGTGCTCCTGGGAGCCCCAACGCCCCCCCCCCCCCGGTGCCCGGAGCACCCCTGGGCGCACGAACGCAGCCCCGGTCCCCGGGGACCCCGTGTGCCATCGAGCCCCCCCAGGTGTCCCCTGGACCCCCCCCGCCCTGGGGGCACCTGTATGCAACCCTGACCCCCCCGTGGGCACCCGGGGGCGGGGACCCACACCTGGGGCTTGTGCGCGCCCCGACACGCAAGGGGGGGTGTCCGGAAACGTACCCCCCCCAAGCCCGGGGCAGGACACCCCCCCAGAGAGTCTGTGACACGCGTGTGCCCCCCCGCCCCACGCAGGACACGCACCTGGGACTTGTGTGTGCGCCCCAAAATGTGTGTGCCCCCTCAAGACACGCGTGGGGGGGTCTCCCCCCCGGAACTCGCGTGTGCCCCCCCTCCCCGCCACGCGGTGCCCGGCGCGCCCCCCCCGCGGTGCCTTCGGCCGGGCCGGCGGGGCCGGGGGGG